ATGAGTTAATATGGGGGGTAAAACTTATTCCAGCGCACTGTATTGTATATTCTTCCTAGTTTGTAGATTTTTCTACGACAAACATTCATAAATGCATTTTTAACAAAAAACATCTACGCCGAAGTCGTTCATCCACCAACTTCACCTAAACTGAAGCAAATTCTACTAAACTAGCAAATACTTCAAAAGCATAGTACATCCTTCTATGTATCTGGTAAATGGTAGAAAATACTACTGAGGAAAGCAAAATGCTTTGTAAGTGTAGCATGTACTGCAAAAATGTAGAATTACTTGATGCATTAGCAGATACTACGTTTTATGCATTCCTCTCATTGTGGTGTGGGTAATTCATCTTCGAATTTTTTGAATAATTTTAATATTTCAACGATATCACTGCGGGTTTTACCAGAACAATTGAGACACACTGCAGAGAATTTGATGCCTACTTGTCGGCAACCACACATACTTTCACATTTTCCCATGCATCTGCAGAAAATTAATTTGAGAAGTTCGCTGTGCTGGAGTTTTGAAGGTTTTGATTGGTATCCAAATTTTTCACGCTTTTTCTAGAACCAATCTTCAGGATCGCAATGTTTTTTTTTTCTAACGATAAACTCTAAGAAACGAGCTGCATCTTGTGTGTAAAGAGAAGAAAAAATGTTCGCCAACGACGATGAGCAAAGATGGTTCAGCTTTCTCACTGGGCAATAATGCTGTTCCGCTAGCTAACTCGGGATTTTTCTGTAAATTTTTGATGAATTTAAGTTTGTTGAGCTACTAATGTGTCGCATCCTGAAAAAGCATGGAAAAACAGCAAATTCTCTACAATGACGCCGTCATATATAAAACTTGAAGAACAGTATAATTGGTGCGGCTTACACCCTTCTGAAGGTTTAAAAATTGAACACTTTCGACACACAACATTGGACTGCCTTTTAATGCTTTTTAATACCGGGAGCAAGACAAGAATGCCAATGTCCTCTGCTACAATATACACAGAATCATAGGCTTATAATGCAGCAAGCACAGAACGGATAATGACTGTATCTACATCAGATTCAGCCTTGTCGAATATCGACACTAAAATCCACTTATTAAACTTTATCTCTGGCCAATGGTGCATTTTCGTGAGGAGACACAACCGCACCAGCTGGGGTAAGTTTTGTGGTTGGAGGGGGAATGAGTCGATAATTAGGAATGTTAAAAAAATAATAAATTGATTTAAAATTTGATGAATAAAAAAATATATAGTAGAAAACTAAGTCTAATGGTTCGTTTTTATCGTATTCTTACGAGTAATCAAGAACTCGGTCAACTTCGGAGCACTGTAAAAGCCAGAAAAATTAATGAAATTATACAATTTTGTAGTAAAAATGATGTGTTGTAAAACCCTCTATAATATTGCTCTGACATCATTTTATTGTAAATAACTAAAAAAAGGCCAAAAACAAAATTTATTCAAAAGTGTTTAGTTATTTTTGTGAATAACTGTTTTATTTTTTAATTTACTACAAACAATGTTTAATACACTTTTCTCTATGGTTGCAAGTTTACAACGCGAAAACCTCTTACATCCCTTATTACAAGATATCGCGTATTCAAGAACCCGACCAACTTTGGAGCGCTGTAACATCCAGAGTAATTAATATATTTAAACAAATTTGTAGTGAAAATTATTCTAGGAAAAACCCTCTATGATATTGCTCTGATGTCATTTTATTGTAAAATTACTAGAAAAAATGTATAAGGCCCAAAAGAAAATTTGTTCCAAAATTTTTTTGTGAGGTTGCTAATTTACGAGATATGGCGCAAAAACCCGTTCTCCCTTTTTCCAATATGCCAGCCTGGGGACAAGGGTAACGACCCCACAAACTTGAACTTAAGCTTACACTTACCCTCCCAATACATCAAAAAAAAAATTAAATTGCGTTCTTTAATAAATACACGCTAAGGCATAAAAATGTAAAATTTCAATGGATTATTGTATATATTAATTGGACAATTCGATGTAAATATCAGGATCAAATTGTTTTCTAATGCCCTTTGTCTGATTCTTCTCGATCGACGATGGTAAATAAATGGTTAATTAGTGGAGTAAAAATTATAGTTTTATTGACAGCTACAGATAATTACTCTCTAGTTGTTGGTTAGGTAACTTTCTATGATAGACTGCGCTCAAATGAGCTCAAATCTATGAGCTTCTATCATACTAACAAACTTTGAACTATGAGCTTACAATAAAATTCAATCTAGGCCGTTATTGCAACACTTAGGAAGTTCAATTAGAAAATACATTATTTGGCAATTTATTAAGTTTGCAGGTTTGCAAGTTGAATGGACTCTAATTATTAAAATATTACTCGATATGTTTCACAATGTTTCAATTATACACGGTGAAACTATGAAAGGTAAGAAGTTAAAAATAATGTGAGATTACAAATTAAGGGATTAATTTGTGATTGAACATTAATAACTTATTTTCAAAATATCTATTTTGTGAATACATAAAGTTTTCTAATATTTAATTACGCACTTATCAAGATATTCATCCCATGTTACTTTAGTATCCAATGTGATACCAAGATAGATATAATGTTTATGAACGGGTATAATTAGATTACTGTGGTAATGGATGTTGTAGTTAGAAAAACATCAGAAGGTAGAAACAACACACTTATCAATAAATCAGTCCGACTTGCTGCATATGCAGATGACATAAACATCATAAGCAGGACCAACAACAGGAAAATACTTACCTGACAGTTGACAATTTAGAAAAAGTAGATAGCTTTATCTATTTAACAGTCTACATGACAATGGACAAAAATGACGTTGTAGAGTTAGGCAGACGAATCATCCTAGCCAATACGTCATACTTTGCTATCAACCAGATATTTAAATCACGAAACGTACATCAAACAATGAAGATACGAATCTGCCAGACCAAAATCCGACCGATAATGAGCTATGGATGCGAAACTAGGGTATTGACTCAAAAATTTGTAAACATCGTTGAAAGAAAGTTACTGAGACGAATACTAGTCCCTATAAATAAGAACAACATGTGTTAAATTAGATATAATTATGAACTATAATATATATATATATATATATATATATATATATATATATAAAGAACCAGCTTTATCTCAGCATGTCCTCAAGGTCTTCAATGGGCAGGCCACGTATTTAGGATGGAAAAAACAGGCATCCAAAAAAACTACCGAATGCAAGAATGCAAAGGAATGCCAAGAAAACGATGGCGGGATAATATGGATATATGCAAAAAAAATCTCTTTGGCATTCGATCGTGGAAAATAATGACTACAGACCAAAATGGATGGAGAGGTTTGCTGACAAAGACCAGAGTTCAAATTAGGCTGTAGAGCCATAGGATGAATGGATGGTAATGGATGCTGTAAGCAGTGTGGGTTGAGGATGTTCATTCTACAATAAAACTCTAATGGTCTCGACTTTAATGTCCGGTGATCCCGACAAATAAGTCGGATGTTCTAGAAATAGAATCCAGCCCTGATGGATAAAACAATTGACGAATAAATTTCCTGGAAAGCTTGCCACTAGCCATAGAGCAAATAAAGAAGTTAGAAGCATTTGAGGTGTGGTGCTATAGACAGAGTCGATATACTGAGTCGACGTCGATTCAAAGAGTTACTAATTATGAAGTGCTGAGAAGATTACAAAAAGAGTGTGAAGTCTGAGAAGGGGTGAAAAATATGAAATGCTAAGACTTACCATGAAAGGATTAATCAAAAATTAGAGAAACATTGACCGAGTGAGGATTTCCTGGCTGAGAAACTTTCGATAATGATATAATTGCAACTAAATAGATCTCTTCAGAGAAGTTGTAAATGGAGTACGGTTGGCTATGATGATAATCAACCTCCGGTAGAAGAAGGAATGATACGAAGAAAATAAAATTCAAACTTCGCAAAAGTTTTTTTCGCAGCAAATTACAGTAAAATGTAGTCAGAACTAGGTGAATTAGTTATTCCATACAAAACCAATAGAGAGAAGTACCCATTTGATACACCAGTTTTCAAAAAACGTACTGCTGAAAGTATCATTTTGATGCACCATAGGCATGCACGCACCATACAACACTAGGAATAGTGATAGCAAAAGAAGAAACATCGAAACGGGACATTCAGCAGAAAATACAACAGGTCCGAAAAGTCCTACAAACCAATTTGAACGTACGGATCTTCAAGTTGACAGATGACAATGGAAGAGAAAAAACTGGTACAAATGGACTAACTAATAAGAGCGTGCCGGATATTTAGTCTTCCCATCCTATCCCAAATGAAGAAATAAAAAGAAGAACAGGAAGGATTTACAATACTGTAGATACAATAGAATCCAAACAACTTTTATGATACAGGCATGTAATGCGAATGGAAGACGAACGATGATGGCCAACACAGGTCTTAAACTGTGTTATATGGAATAGAAGGAGAGGAAGACCAACATTAGAATGGAGAGAAGGAATCAGAGGAATAATGAGAGATTGATCCATAAATGATGAAGAATGGATAATAAATGGATATATATATATATATATATATATATATATATATATATATATATATATATATATATATATGTATGTATATATATATATATATATATATATATATATATATATATAATTAGAAAGCTGTTAAAAATTACTTGCCAAATATGGAAATGAGATTCGTAACTAAAAGATGATCCTGCTGCTTGTGTCCATAAACACACAAAAATTAAAAATTATAGATAAATAAATAGATTCTAATTATAATTGAAGTTAATAAAACCTTTTATGTATTATATATTTAAAAAAGTTCTTATACTTTTATATTATATCTTACATTTTTGCAATATGTTATTCTTATTATCGTTGATTACATGGCTGTAATTTGTAAAACATGATAGAACCAAAAAATTTAGACCAATGTGTAAAATGTTGTATATTAAATCTATATTTATACATAATTACTTACCTCGACTGTCATGAAGCAGCAAATATTTCTTAAGAAACGACATTTTACTTATAGATTTCACTACCTACTAACTCTAAGTAAACTTCTTTGAAATGTTTGTAAATTTACATTGAACTCCTCTATGGGATTTATTGACCAAACAAGGGGTGTTATTTAATAGAGTGCCGCCCATATTTAATAACGGGGAAACCATTGATGCTATCAGAAAAGAACAATTGAATCAATATTTCAACACGTATGTATTTCTGCGAATATACCTATTATATACCAAAGGGTATTGTACCTTAACAAAATTTAATTAAAATGAAGACCTGTCAATGTGGTAATCAATTGACTTCGAGAACGAAATTTTAATTAAATCTAGATATTCAAGGATTTTAAAAATACAATAGATATTAAATGAGCATAACAATTAAAAGAAAAAAAATTAAAAGTACATTGTAAAAATAAAAAAAAAACAAAGAAGCGCCAAATGTTACAATACCAGAAAAAAGAGATAACCCGTAATATCTTCTTCTTTTCAGGATTTGCAACTCTAATCGAGTGCAGAGCAAAGATTTACTCTCTGCTCAGTCATGATTTTTAAATAAGCTTCTAACTTTGGAAATCAGAATTTTACATAAAGCAAACTACAAACCATATAACTGCTCTAGGCGAAAGAACATCAAATCTTTCAACCATACATGAGAGAGAGTGAAGATTTCTTCTTACAGTGCCATGCACCTATCGTGCGTTGGCAAATTATCTTAAGCTGAGAAATGTTATTTACGCCTGTGGAATTCTTTATATTCCGTACCCACGACATTAGTTTGCAACCTACTCCTCTCTTCCCACAATATTTCCTTAAATAATTAGTTAAGCGATTGCATACCTTTTCCCTCTCAAGATATGGCCCAGTTATATAATTTTTTCGTACTAAGTTGAACAATTGTCTAAGTTGTTTAAGTTGAACAATTCCCTTTCAATATTTGCCCTTCTTAAAACTTCGTCATTTCTCACCTATGTGTCCATGGTAGCCGGAGCATTCTTCGCAGGGTCCACATTTCAATGCCTCTAACTTATTAATGGAAGATATTGTCAACGTCCATGTCTCCATGCCGTATAACAATATGGACCACACATAGCATTTAACCATCCTGTAGCAGAGATTAAAAGAAATATTGCGGTTGTAGATTAGTGATTTAAGTTTAACAAAAGCTTGTCTTGCTTGTGCGCTACAGCATTGCAGATGTGCTCTTGAAACTGTGGTTTTTCTAATTGGCATGCAATAATTTTTCCTGCATTTTGTCTTCAAACCATATGTTTTTCCTACATTATTTATTTTATTTAGTAGCAACTGCATAACATGTTCGTTATCTGTAATTATTCCGCTGTCGTTGGCCTGGATGAACAGCACAGGAGACAAAACATACCCCTGCCGTACCACTCTTAAAATTTCAAATTCCTCTCTGTTGTCGACTCGTTCAGCTTCACTCAGGCTTTTTGGTTCCAATAGAGATTATGGATAACTGTTATAGATGTTTCGTTAATGTTATCATTGTATCTCGCCACTTAACTCTTGTGAGTACACCTTATGAGTTTTACTAAACGTGAAAACTATTCGTGTCCAAAACGGGTGAACCTAAAACTTCCTGCTCATATTATTTCGGCATACACGTTAGGGTTTGCCCGATGGTTTTATCCTCGCATGCATAACCGACAGGCAAGCACTATGCATGTGATAAAACCGTACAGTTATTGTTGCATGTACGTGCAACCGAGCAAATAGGAAAATTCATATTTTATGCCGCTCGGTTTTGCTTGCCTGCGAACATTTCCTAGCGTGTGTAGTGTTCGGCAAGCTTGCCTGCCATAGTTCTCATAGCATCACATGTTTCAGGTATTATTCGGCCCAAAGTCTGAGGCGATATAATAGCAGAATATTTGAGACACTCGTATGTTTTTCCTGTTGCAAGAAATCTTAATGTTACTGCTAGTCTCTCATGTGCTGATATTGATTTCCTCATAACAGTGTCTTGTCTTTGTATTACCGGAGTAATGAATGATAATAGTTTCAAATAAAGTTTTTCATCCATTCGTAAATAATTTTTGTAATCTGTTGGTTTAAATCTCAATTCATTTATCAAATTTGCGTGGGAGAAATGATTTCTTTTGACTAACCAGCGTTTAGGCCATTCAATGCGATCTCTCTTTTTTTCTTTTCTGAAGAATAAGTATTAAGCCAAGTACTATCACATCGTTGTCGTGCATTGTAGTTTGGTAGGTATATAGTGCATAATGGTAAAACTGTGCATGCAAACCCCAACGTGTATGTGTAATATGGAACTCGGTTATGCCTGTCGGTTATGCATGCAAGGTTAAAACCATCATGCAAACCCTAACGTGTATGACCTCCATTATAGACATCCAAAAAAGTAACTTTCTTATTATACTCATTAGTCAATTATTTCACGGTAAAATATTGTAAAACCTCAGAATTCTAAAAAACCGCCTCGATTGGCATTTTAATCTAGTTAAAATTTTAGAACACGTTGTTAATACATAAATAAAGCTAATTTTATATGGAATCAAATTAATCAAACTTAATTTTTTTTAAGGATATAATCGTGTTTTTTTGTTAATAACTCGGGTGTTTTCCATCCGAATCACTTATGGCTTATAGAGCTTAGCTTTGAGACATTATGCTTCTAATTACATCTCTATCAACGTCTGTTTTGCCTTGCAATTCCTAGAAGGCACAGATTAAAGCAGAAATCTGAATTTGGTTTCGACAATTAGTTTCCGGATTCACGAAATTTTAATTTATAAATTAAAAAATATGGGGATTCAAGGACGTACATTGAATTGGCTAACATCTTATTTAACTGCACGTCGCCAATACGTCAGCTTTAACAAGAAAGGCAAAATGCCAAATGCTAGTCATAAATCTAACTATCTCGATATTGATATAGGTCTACCATAAGTTTAAATTTTAGGGCCCATCCTATTTCTTATTTACGTAAATATAATATAATCGTTTACTAACCTTTATAGCGGATTCTGTAACAATTACCTACTATTGAATACTCAAAAAACTCTTTTCATGCAGTTTTATAATAGGTAACGCTGTGTTAACCCAATTAATTTAAACATAAATAGTAATGACATTGAAAACGTTTCACCAGTAAAGTTTCTAGGACTTCATATAGATGAATGTCTTAATTGGAGAAAACATTGTGATGCACTTGCCGAAAACTTAAACTCAGTAACTTTTTTGTTTTGAAATTTAAAACAAGTTGTAACGGAGAAACAATTAATAGTGCTTTAGCAGGGTGGCCGCACACAGAAAGAGCAAAACTGTTTTAGTCAAAAAACGTTTTTGACTAAACGAGTCTGATGCTGATGTTTCCATATAAATGAAATGAGCTGACGCACACTGATTAGTCGTGTGTCTAAAGCATGTTTAGGCTCATTTAGTTTCATTCAGTCTGTTTGATGTTGATTACCGGATCGTCATTTTGTGTCGAAAAATTTTAATATACGCAGGCGTACGTGTTTTTGGAATTCCCTCCTTGAAATCGCTCGAGTAGTCAATAAGAAGCGCATGTGGAAACAGCGATATTCTGCTTGTTTTTGCCTGTAGGAGGAACCACTGCCAGAAAACTAGTGCAGTTTCGTCGTTATCTGTCGACATCTTTAATAAAACTGATTGCAGAATGGTTTGTGCAAACATATTATTTCTCTTGGAAACAAAATGTTTCTTGTGGTAACAAAAACGTTTTTGACTAAAACAGTTTTGCTCTTTCTGTGTGCGGCCACCCTTACTATGCTCAAGCCGAATTCCTTCTAAAGGTCGATTCAGACACATCAGTCCCGTCACAGTCCCGGCGCCGAACCGGTCCTGTTTGGTCACAGAACTATTAATTATCTGACAGCTGGGAAACTGTTCGTCACCTGATGAATGTGAATGCCGGCGCCATATTTCTATTAAAGAATATTTTGTATGACGGATTGTTCGGTTCGGCGCCGGGACTGTGACGAGACGTGACTGATGTGTTTGAATCGACCTTAAGACGCGGGATTTGTTTTGGGGAACAAGTAGCCATATTAATGAAGTTTTTATTATACAAAAAAGTATAATGCATACGGCCTATTGCTGGTATCCCCCTTAATACTGTCTTTATATTCTGGAGTAATACCTCGAAATTTTTAAAACCAATGGGCAAGTTCCTAACTTAAATACTAGATATAAAGATACCTTACGTGACAAAGAGTTTTTAATAGATTACCAATAGATATAAAATTGTGTAAGAGCATAATAACCGTTAAACTAAATTTAAAGGAATTTTTGACTGCACTTATTTTCTATTCAATTGAATAATTTCTTCAATTTTGAATGTTACTCTTTTTGTTGTTCGTTTGTTTATTGTGTATATTAACTGGTTTGTTTTATTTAATTAAATGACCAATTCTACAAAAACTATGTTTGTCTAAAAAGAAATAAAGTTTTTATTTATTTATTTCATATCGAGTAGACAAAAATAATTTTAACGTATTGTGGATTATCATACAGCACCGCATTTTATTAAGTAGTATTGACAATAGTTGACATTGACAGCAGACAGGTTAAACGTTTCAAATCCACTAAAAATTTGCTTGTAATCTTGCACACAAATATTCTAAGAACGATATTTTTCACAGATTTAATTTTAATTAAAGACAATTAAGATGCCGGATCATTTGGGAGATGATATGCGAAAAATAAAAGAGGAAAAAGAGGAGCCCGAAAAGGAAATTAAAGGTAACCCAAAAAGCTAATTTTTAGAAAATTTACAAAGTACAATGAAAATATTTTTTAGCATTGGATGAAGGGGATATAGCACTTCTTAAAACCTATGTAAGTTTTATTTTTAATTTAATCAATATCGGTATTATTTATGGGATCGGTTTTCACATCAAATATATTCTAGATCTAATATCTATTTATTATTTAGGGACAAGGGCAATACACAAAGACGATTAAAACATGTGAAGAAGATATTCAAACGATAATCAAAAGGGTAAATGAATTAACTGGTATAAAAGAGTCTGATACTGGTTTAGCTGCACCAGCTTTATGGGATCTAGCAGCTGACAAACAAACCTTACAAAATGAACAACCCTTACAAGTGGCCCGTTGTACGAAAATTATCAATGCCGATACAGATGATCCCAAATACATTATAAATGTTAAGCAGTTTGCCAAATTTGTAGTAGATTTGGCGGACTCTGTGGCTCCTACAGATATAGAAGAAGGCATGAGAGTTGGGTAAGAATTGTTGAGTTAAAAAAAATTGTCAAACCAATAGATAAAATGTTTTGTTTTTAGAGTTGACCGGAATAAGTATCAAATTCATATTCCTCTACCTCCAAAAATTGATCCTACTGTGACCATGATGCAAGTTGAGGAGAAACCTGATGTTACATACAGTGATGTTGGTGGTTGCAAGGAACAAATTGAAAAGTTGAGGGAAGTTGTTGAAACACCTTTACTTCATGTAAGTTATTTTACTAAAATTCAATATTGTAATATTTCTGTCATTTTCTATTATTGTTAAATAACTTTCTTTTACCTTTTATCTGTGAGTTCTAATTCTATACTGTCCTATAGATCATTGTTGCGTCTAGCAGGCTCACAACTGTTTGCAATAACATATTCCCGTGTGTAGTGGTCAACAATGATAAAATTATTTTATATGTTTCACAATGGATATTTACTTATAGTAGCCCTGCAACAAATAGTTATTTCACGAATAAAATGCCAATTTACCAAAAAAAATTTTATTTAATTTTTTTAATCATAAATATGAAATTAACAACATTTTTTATGATGTATGGAATAATTTTTGTTTTAATTGTAATTTTATGTTGATTACTATTTAATTAATTGTTTGATAATTGAAAAATGCTGAAAATTAAATATTGTAACAAGAGGTTTTTAAAAAATTAAAATTAATAAGGCATAATGTTGCCCTTAGCTTGAATAACAGCCTGAAATTTATTAGGCATTGTATCAACTAGACCTTCACAGAATTCAGGAGTGAAACTATCCCATATTTCTTGCAATTTAGGACATAGCTGTGGCAAAGTATGCTGAGGGTTATTTCTTAGGCATTGTTTCATTTTGTGCAAAGTGTCTATTGGATTAAGATCCAGGCTGATAGAAGGATACAACAAAACTTTAATATCTTGTTCTCCCATTATTTTTTTTGCAGATTTAGCCATATGGCATAAGCTCTGTCCTGTTGAAAGATAAAATCGTCTGGATGGATATAACTTTGCCACACTTGGTTAACAAGGAATGTTCAAGAATATCTTGATATTTGGCTGCATTTACTGTGCATTCAGTAAAATGTAAAGACCCCAACTCTTTGGTCGACATAAAACCCCACACTATGATGCCATGTGAAGCTGTACAGTTCTTATAAAACAATCCTTATGGAATGCTTCTGATTGTTTCAGAATCACACGCTTTCAGTAATCTCCCACATGGACATCAATAAATGTGCTTTCATCTGTAGAAATAACTTTGTCCCAGTTATGTTTGGTCCATGAAAGTTTTGATTTAGACCAAATATAATGATTCCTTTTTTGACTTTCTGCCAACCTTGGTTTTTCTATGGCATAAAGAAGAACCTATCAAAGATACTTTATAAACGCTTTTGTGGATATACTTCCTACAACATTCTGGAAACATTCATCCCAGTTTCTCTATTCCGCCTTGCAGTTACTTCTCTTAGTATATTTTTTCTTCCCAACTTATATATTCTAATTAAATGACACACTCCTTTTCAGAAATAGCTTTTGTATAGCTCGAGCTTTTGTAACGAACATGAATACTGGCAGTTTCACAGTTGTTGTTGTTACACAAAATTCACTGGAAATTTCACTGTTTGTTTTCCTTTTATGGTAGTTGATGAAAAATACTTTCTCACATTGTTGAATCATTAGGTTTCCCACATGCCATTACTGTATTCTACTCATAATAAAACTGAGTGTTGTTAATTATTCATACTCAAATGATGCATGACAATTATTATTGACAACGCACTACCTACATGACATGTATGTTTGATTCAAAGCCTTTTTTGCTTTGAAAAAAACCTTCTTTGTTTCATAAAACTTAGAAACGTGAGGAAAAGCAGAAAATGTTCCAATATTTAGTTGTCAGCAGTCTTCGATTATCAAACAATTAATTAGATAGTAGTCAAAATAAAATATATAATTAAGCACTAAAAATAATTCCATACATCATAAAAAATATTGTTAATTTCATATTAATGATTTAAAAAAAATTTTAAAATTTTAAAAAAATTTAAACAAAAGAATTTTGGTAAATTAGTATTTTATTTGTAAAATTACTGATTGTTTCAGTATACAGTTGTTAGGACTCATAGTTACTTTATTAACCCATAATTTGTCTCCAGGAAAAAAGTCCCCTCTTTAGTTACCTGTGAGATTTTCTATTTGTTGGTTAAGCATAGTCACTGCACTACAGCCAAAGAATATAGACGCTTATAGAAGAACAGTTCAAATGGGCGATTTGGTTAGGGTTTACACTTAAAAACACATCTGGCAGTCGGCTTAAACTATCTCATAAAAGATGTAGTTAGGGGAAAGTGGGAAAGGAGTACGAACGGAGCTATTTATTTAACTTTGCATCTACGATTAAAAAAAAATCCCATGCTTTTTTTGTTTTTTTTTTCACAATAAAATCTTTATTTTTAATATATTAAATTGTTAAATTTTGAATTTTGAAATTTAAAAAGGTATGATATTTACAATATTCAAAGCATTTATTTTTTACATTGTATAACTTTGAATTAAAAATAGGTTTGTTCCAACACAACGAAAAACCGTCACATAAATTTTTATTATACTGTTTTTCTGCCCAAAAATTAACGAAATATTTTTTTAAAGTATTTCGTTAATTTTTGGGTTAATTCAACCAAAACTTTGATTTTCTCAGGACTTTTCATTAAACTTTTTAGACATTTTTCCATTATTCTGCAGAAAAACAGTGTTGTGTTTTACATTTTATGTTATTTTATATTAAAAACAAAGAAGAAATTATTAAATTTAGAAAATTTGGAAATATTTAATTCCGGTGATTGATGACTTTATTGGTTGAATTAATTTTATAGTTAATAAGAAGAGAGTTCTTCTTATTAACTATAATATTATTTGTAGATTTGTACCTATTTAAATTAAAAATTCGAATCATAATATTTTTTCTAATAGGATTCATTTATTAAAAGTTAAAATATTATCATTTTCTTTAAAAAATGTTATAAAACGCAAAAATTTAATCCTATTCTACGGTCACGCGGAATTATACATAAAAATATCTGTTGCATTTGTTGCCCCACTCTTTCATATTTTAAAAGCAATAATAGCGCTGACATGACCGCTCCCTTCTCGATCCACCCTCTCATTCTTTTTCATAACGTGCGATCATCTTTTGCCAACTTTCAAACATAACAGTGAAAGATTCTTCTATAAGCGTCTATATTCTGCACTACAACCTCCACCAGTCACCTACTGATGTATGTTGATGATATCTTTATAATTTTTACTACAGATGTTAAGTTCATTATTGGTTTCATTACGTAATGTAACAAGTTAATGAACATTTTATTTGTATCATATAGGAAATGACAATGGCTAGACATTGTCATTTAGGTTTGCCATGTGAGACATACCTGACCATCAATAAGCCATAGATGTCAACAACTAGAGCTGGTGTCATGTGAGGCATGACAAAATGGGGTTAATAGATCCATGTCACTGATTTACAAGGTTTACCAACTGATATGTTTGATGTAATTACTTATACTTTTAATTCATGTTATAAACACTTCTTATTCAAATTTATAGCCTGAAAAATTTGTAAAACTTGGTATTGAACCACCAAAAGGTGTTCTTCTTTTTGGTCCCCCTGGAACTGGTAAAACTCTTTGTGCTAGAGCAGTAGCCAATAGAACAGATGCCTGCTTTATCCGTGTAATTGGTTCTGAATTGGTTCAGAAGTATGTAGGAGAAGGAGCAAGAATGGTTAGAGAACTTTTTGAAATGGCTAGGTCAAAGAAGGCCTGCTTGATATTTTTTGATGAAATTGATGCTATTGGTGGAGCCAGATTTGATGATGGCGCTGGAGGCGATAACGAGGTAAGAATTTTTTTTTTAAAGTCAAAAGTTTGATATTCAAAACACAAATGACAATATAGATTAATTAGAAAGTATGATGTTATTATTTTGAAAAATTTGAATTTTTTTTATAAATATGAAAATTAGAATTTACTTTAGAAATATAGAATTAGAAATACAAAAATAGAAAAAACATACTCTTAAAAAACAAAATTATAATTCAGAGTTAACTTGTTACATACTGTTTTTTATTGGGAATATGCCACAATTTTACTTTACAATAGTTTAATTTAATGTTTTGATTTCCACTTCGGAAATTGTTTTATATAAATAAAATTTATTAATATTTCGTATTTTAAGTATGATTTCCGAATTGGAAATCTAAACATCAAAATAAGCTTATTTTAAAGGCACATTGTGCCTTATTCCCAATACAAATAATAAACTGCATTATGACGCCACAATAAAAAAGCTTCATACAAAATTGTTTGGCAACATCGTGTCGTCAAAGTAACAACACTTCGATTTTAATGCTGCGGTAACAAGTAGAATAGAACTAGCATAATAAATGAAAAAGTACTAGTAAAGCATTAGGAAGGAGTAGGTCTATTATAATAAATTTAAACTGGACGAAAAATTACGTCTTGTAATTAAAAATAACATATTATTTGGTATTTTCCAAATAATAAAAAAAATATAAAATTTGTTCCATAAAAATGAACTCAAATAAAAAATAATTCCAACACTACTGTTTAAATTAAAAATAATTCCAAACAATTAGAAATTCTAAACCAAATAAAATTCTAAGGTAACTAAATGTTCAAACAGACTATCAAATTGTAACCATCAAATTGAACAGTAGCCAAATCTATTATACAACTCATTTCTCATGGCGTTGAGTTCATCTGCCGATATGTTTTGGCTAAGTTGGATTATCTTTTCCTTCAGTTCTTCCAAGTTGGTGGCTCGCTTGAAATCATGCCTGTACAATTTTGTTTTAGCATCCCCCAAAAATACAAATCTAGAAGAGCTAAGTCGGGTGACAGAGGGGGCAATTTTGTTGTACAGTCTGTACTAATGACACGTTCAGCAAAAATTAACATTAAATAGTCTCTAACGGCTGTGTCATTATGTGCAGGACAGCCATCTTTTTGAAACCAAATTTCGTTGAAGTTAATTTGAAGATGTTGAAGCATCGGAATCATTTCATTTTGCAGTAATTGGAGATATGTGACTGTGTTTATAAATTGCCTTCAATGAAAAAAGTACCAATAATATGGTCTCCCAAAATTCCAGTCCAAACATTTAACTTTTGTAGATACTGTGTATGCACAGACACTCAAATGCTTATTCTCCTGAGACCAGTAACATACAATAGATGGATTATGTTTCTTGTGAATTGTGAATGAGGGCTCATCTGTAAACAAAATATTTTTCACAAAATTATTATTTGCATGGCATCTTTCCATCATAATTTCACAAAATTGCATCCATTTAAATTGATCATCAGGAAATATTTCTTAAGTTGTCTGCACTACAACAGTGGTAGTTTTGCATTTGCAAAAACACTATTTTTGCATTCAAATCAACTTCATCAGCAATTTGTTTACCTGAACACGGCGTCGTTTCATCCAATGCACAAACTTGAATTTCTTGTTCTTGAGAAATTTTTTTTTTTTTTGGCGAGGTTGATCCGATGGGCAGCATTTTTTACATCTGCCATTAGTACAGCCAAACTTTTCAAATTGATGAATAATGGGCAATGCAGTTTGTTCTATAGGTATTGGCATATTTTCAAAAGCCATAATAAATAAATTAATAGTTTCTTGTACTGAATTGCCCCCAAAGTACCATTTTATTATTTCTACCCGTTCTTCTGGTGTATAAACAGTCGGCATATCAAATTTTTATCCTCACACTTTCGCGTTACCTCCAAAAAGAAATACATAGCATAGCGTTCGGCCTGTCTTGTAACTAGTTTACCATTGAAGAGAACGGACGAATGACGATGTTGCCAAAATTATCTTGTTTTATTGGAAATTAGGTTACCATTTCGTCAAATTAAAATGCGAATCTGGAAATTCCAGTAAATATTTGTGACAGTTAGTGTTTCATTTTTAATATCATCCAGTTTTGAATGACAATATAACCTCGCCACTAATCGCCAATTGTTTTAATCAATTCAATGTTTTAATTCAAATATGTAATAAGGCAACCATGCCTTATTTCTTACGTATGTTTCTTACATATAAGCTGGATCGGAAAAAATCATCTGGCGTTCACTAAGGGCGTGCATAAGGAATGTGGAGAGGAGACCAAGGGGAAATATGATTGTTATCTTTGTCTATTCGCTGAAAATATGATTTTATACCTGTGTTAAATATCCTGTTAAATTCTACTATACCGACCATAAACTTTTACCTACACAGTATACATATTTGACAACTAAAATTTACCTAATGCATGATGATCTAATAACTAGTGTGGTGAATTGGTTCAGTATCCTAAAAGTTTGGTTATTAAATATTGCATTAATGTAATTTTAAAGTAGATTTGATTTTATGATAGGTATTTGAATATGTTGAGGTCAAGTCATCTTCATCAAGTTTTAAATGATACATGGATCTCTACTGCGGATTCCTGAGGTTTATAAGTGTTCCAAGATGTACCCTACCAAATACTTTTATGTAATTGATGAAAGCTTTATACCTGTCTTTAAGTTGGTTGCAAAATATTTGTAGAAGTATAGTAACTATTAACTAGTCCCTTTCACATCAACTTCTTGTTCTTCCATGTACTATGAGAAGAAAATTCTTGAATGTGTACATTATCAGACTAATTAATCTGTATTCGTCACACCTTTGTGTCCTTGCCATTAAAACAGACTTCAGGTATTTCACCAGAATATACACATTGCTAGAAAACTTAACTAGAACACTGCTGTGGTCTTCTTGGGTCATTTTAAGACTTGCATTGGAATGTAATCATATCTTTCTTGATATCTTGCATTTTATGGCATGACACTAACAGTTTGGTCACAAATATCCTCTTTTCAAGCTCGATTCTTAGTGTTATCCATTTTTCTGTTAAACATTGCACACTCACGGGTCATAGATTTTTTTTGTGCTGAAGGGAGAAATTCTCGAAAGTGTTTATTAAACATACAAAAAACATTTTTTGCTTCAAGTTGACCAGCTGTTGGCATAAATATATTAAGAGTGATACGTTTCAAATACCATTTCAATCATATTCAATTATATTCATGCGAATATAGGCCTCTCCTAATTCTCGCCATTCATCTCTGTTGTTTGTAAGATGTTTCCACATTGGCCCTGCAGTTCTTTTAATATCATCGCTCCATAATATTCCTGTATTGTTGTCCCTATTTTTCTTGTATAACAAGAGTTCTAGAAATATCTGAAATGGTAGAATATTTTTTGTAATATACCTTTTCTCTTTTTCTAATCATGGGAGAATTACCGATATGTTGGTCAACTCTATTAACTCATTCCTTTGTAAAATTTTAGTCATGTACTCTCTGTTTTTCTCTCTTACGCTCTTTCTCTGCCTCTTTCGCTCTTTCTCTCTAGCAATACAACCCAGGGTGGGTCTTTGTAAACTTCACAATCTGCCTCCACTTCACGCGATTCATCATTAGTTCTTCTACGCGTTCTATATTTAGGGTAAGTAAATCTGCTGTAATATATCATCTTTCCACTGCACCCTAGGTCTTCCCAGTTCCAGCTGGTTTCCTGTTCATGGTTTCTTCTTACACCAACAGAACATCTTATTCTTTTTGGCATTATTATTTGTATTATATTGGGCTGGTTATATAATTCTTCCAATTCTCAGTTAGTTCTCACTATGAATTGCTGTGTGATGTTATTCTTTACCGGGTCATACATTCTTTTAAGAATTCTTCTTTGTCATTTTCAGTCGGTTGCAAGCCGAAAGCTTTAGGTCGAGACCCTTTAATACATTCTACTCTGACAACAGACTGTCGCGTTCAGTGAATATTGCGTTAGGGACCGGCAACGAGATGCGTGTGGTCTCTGTTTATGTGGAAGCTGCAACACTCAACACAGTTCCTGATAAAGTTCAAATTTGGAGCAACCTAAAGTTATTCTTAAAGAAAACTATGTCATTCTTGGGAAGAAGATACTGAGAAAATTTGTAAAAATGCAGTTCTCAAAAAGAAAAAGTCAAATGTTCTACCTAGCAGTAGTAATCCTCTTTCTCCGTCATCTCTATCAAGAAAAGAAAAGGTTATAATGCGAACCAGGATAGGGCATACAAGCATGACTCATGAATATCTTATGTCCTCCGAAGATCCGCCGATATGTATTCACTAATGATGCCTAACTTACTGTCAAACACATCCTAATGGAATGCCGACATTACCAAGACAGCCGCATTGCTAACGACTTGAACGGTTGTTTGGAGTAGCTTCTAAATTCTCCAAGCCGTTTCGGAAAACTGATATTTCTTGAAGACTTCACAGTTGTATAATCAAATTTGTAACTCTAGTATTTAAAAACGTTGAATTACTGTACCTGTCTCAATGTCCTACGTTGATCGAGGCACGTTAAACTAAAAAAAAACTTCAATTCAAGATATTTCAATTTTACAGTTTTGGTTAAAAAAATTTTGGTCAAATAGATGCGGAATAAAGATTTATGCGGTTAAATAAAAAGTAAAACAAATTAATACCATATTGTTTTCTTAAATTTTAGCAATTTTGTCGAATATTTATTGTGAACTAATGTTAAAACTGTTTTTTAGGTACAACGTACTATGTTAGAACTTATTAATCAATTGGATGGTTTTGATCCTAGAGGTAACATTAAAGTACTTATGGCTACAAACCGTCCAGATACTCTAGACCCTGCCCTTATGAGACCTGGTCGTTTGGATCGTAAAGTTGAATTTGGACTTCCAGACCTTGAAGGAAGAAGTCATATTTTCAAAATTCATGCTAGATCGATGTCTGTTGAGAGAGATATTCGTTTTGAACTTTTGGCTAGGTAAGATAACAGTATTCATTTATGAATCTCAGTAAAAGTTTTATATTTATAACTAAAGTTAATTGAATTTATGGTGTATAATGTTGTCGCCCTTTTTTTCTTTTGTCACCTGCTCCACATATCAATAGTTTCGTTGTATCTCTGAGTCCATGCAGTAGACATGTCCCAAACCCAAAAATTTTTAGACTATGATCAATTAGTTATCTTGTAATGAATGCAAATTGACTAATTAAACAAATACTAAATTAAAAACAGAAAGGAAAAAGTGTAGAATGCCCTGGCAAATATGGAGCAAAAGTGTACCCCAAAACCCCCTCCCCCAAGATAGGCAAAATGTCCTCACTGCAAGAATTCAATTTTTTACGTTCTATATCTATCTTCTTCTTCGTGCACCATGTCCTTTCAGAACGTTGGTTAGATCATAGCTATCTTAATTTTATTCACTGGCACCCTAAATAGCATGATTGTATCAATACCATACCAATCTCGCAAGTTCTTCAACCATGAAGGTTTTTCTTCGTCCTGGACTGCGGTTTGCCTGCTATTTTCCTTTGCATAATATTTTATGGGAACTCATATTTGAAACCTCTCATTACATGTCCGAAGTACTTTAGCTTTGTTCTTTAAGATCCTTTGAAATGCGCGGTTTAATAGTGTTTAAATTTCCAAAAACATTTGAAAATGGGCATTAATGGCGCATAGCGACAAAAAGATTAAAAAAATCCAGTAAAATCCCCAAAAACACTTGAAAACGGTTTCAAGAAATCTCTAGCTTCTCTGAATATGGGAAGTAGATCGTCTCATTTTATTGTATAAAAATGTTCCAAATATGCTGTTTAATGATGTAGAAAGGTAAAAAAAGTTGGGTAAATCTAGTAAAAACACCTGAATGACCCTTGAAAATCCGGTTTTGACATAAATGATGATTGTATGTGCTTCTTTGAAGCCTGAAAATATTCTTTTTCATATATTTTTGACTATGAATAGGAGAGGTATTGATTCAGGTTATAATGTTCTCAGAAAATGTGATTAGTCCCGCTGAAACCTTTGAAAAAACGTAGTTTTTTGAGGGTTTAAAGGCGTTTCACCCAATTTTTGAATGCCCTAAAAGATTCTGTTATACAATTTTTCATATAAAAACGTGCACGTCATTCAAGATTTACGACGTCAGAACCCCACAGCGTTGCCAAAACATCAGAATAGTAAACAGTGAGGAATTTTTAAAAGTCAACTATTTAAGAATACAGTACACTATTATAGTCAATTATTACAATATTAAAAGTTCATTATTTTTAACAGCTTGAGAAATATTATTAACAGTAGAGACACTTAGTTTTAAGACTACTGCAACACACTAAAATACATAAGAAAACATTTTAATACAAAATTTTGTATTCTAAATTTAAAACTTACCTCTTTTAGAGCATTTAGTAAAAACGTTTCGCCATTATTTCTTGTTCAAAATAATCCATTAAAGCTTATCAGCTTTCTACATACTATTCAGTTGTTTTGGCATAGCACAATTACAATACACAACAATAATTAGTTTTTAAAGCTATTAAGGTAAATTTAATATGTATTTATAAATACAATTTATTAATATATTGTGAATCAAATTGTGTGAGAAATCAAAACATAAACAAAACTCTTACTTTTTTAAACAATTTTGCCAAACGCTGAACTGTCATCGAAATTTGAAGTATTCCCGTATAAGTGGCGCACGATTGTCTAATCTATTTAATTAAAATTATTATTTTGTGGAATATTAAACTTAAAGAGTTATTTTATAAAATTTATATTATTAATAATAATAAATGTTTTTTATTGTTCTGAAGCTATTTTCTTGTGGCATTGTAAATTAATTACTATTAAACTGGGAATAAGCCACAATTAAAAATAAAAATACGTTTATTGACGTTTCAATTTCCACTTCTGAAATCGTTCTCAAAATACAAACAGTAAATTAAACAAATTTTGTTTTTTGTTACATAGTGAAAAATTCTTCTAATAATTTAATTTTATCTGACTCATTTATATTGACAATTCAGACATACATTATGCATTTTAAAGTAGACGACTTTAAAATGATATTGCCAATATTGTTGAGTTGCGCTCCTGGAACGACTTTACTTATAAGATAGTTCATTCGATTACATGAAATCAACTTTAACTTGAGAATATCCGTCAGAAAAAATCATAGCATGTAATTCGTCTTTAAAAAGACAAACACATGATATGATGACAGTAAAATTCTCCTGTTAGTGATTCCATAGTAAATTATGAGGTAAAAACCAGGAAAAAAACCTGATAATACTATCCCGACATTGTAAGTATTTGTTCGTGAATTTAGTTTACCTTCAACAAACATCAAAATTCTGATTTTATATGTTACGTTATTTAAAAAAAAACATAAATGATGTATCCTCTATATGTTACTGACTTACTAATACTGGTATTTTCTTATTAATAACTTCCTCTTTCAATATTGGTAACCAGATCCTACTACATTCTGCCGAGGAATTTGCGACACACTTGGCCTCATTTAGCATAATTAGAGCCGCTTCTTTGATTTTTCTTTTTTACCATCCGTTTCTTTTAGGACTACATTTAAATTATTCCATTGAACCCTATGTTCATTATCCCATGCGTGTTTACAGATTTGAGATCTATCAAATTCTCTATTTTTAATATAAGGTTGATGTTCACTTATTCTAATATTTAATGGCCTTGATGATTCACCTAAATAAAACTGATCGCATTCACAAGGTATTTTATAAATGCAATTCTTTATCCTTTCTTCTTCATTGTTAGGTTTGGTTTTGGACAAAATAGATCTCAACGTGTTTGTTGTTTTGAATGTTGTTGAAATGTTGAATTTATTTCCTATCCTTTTAAGTTTTTCTGATAGTCCTTTTATGTACGGTATTGTTATTTTCCTCATATTATTCCTTGTGTATGCTGTAGGATCTCGTTCTAAGTTGTTCTGTTCTATTCGATCGATTGTTGAAAATTACTTATTTATAAACGATAAAGGATAATCATTTTTTAATAAAACAGATGTTAACAAATGTTTCTCCTACAAGAACGAATTTTCGTTAGAACAAGTAATTTTGGCTCTATCGTATAAGGATTTAATTATTCCCTTTTTTACATTAATACTGTGATTTGATTTGAAATTTAAATATCTATTGGTGTGTGTTGGTTTTCTATACACCTGAGTCTCATATCCAGTATCGTTCTTAGAGATTAAAACATCCAGGAAAGGTAGCGTGTTATTATATTCCTTTTCCATGGTAAATGTTATTGTCTCTTCTTTATCGTTTATATCATTTAGGAATGTGTCCAACAACTCTGATCCATGAGGCCATATTGAGAATACATCATCTACATACCTCCACCATACTGTGGGTTTGAAATTTTGTTTAGAAATGATATTTGTTTCAAAATCTTCCATAAATATATCGGCTAATAATGGAGATAAACTAGAGCCCATTGCGAGACCAAAATTTTGTTTATAGAATTCATTATTTAGTTGAAAATATGTATTATCAGTACATAATGTTAATACCTCCATTATAGCCGATATGTTTAGTCTTGTTCTAGTTGCCAATGAATCATCACTCTCTAATTTGTCTTGACTATACTTAAAGTCTTATTTAATGGCACATTCGTAAATAAACTATTTATGTCAAAACTTACCAAAGTATGATTTGAATTAAATTCAATATTTGATAATTTATTTAAAAAATGTTGTGTATTTTTTATGAATGTGTCATTTTTATTTGTAAATGGTTTTAAAATATTTAATAAAAATTTTGATAGTTCACTACAAGGAGAATTCATGGTACTAAAATGCATAATGTATGTCTGAATTGTCAATATAAATGAGTCAGATAAAATTAATTATTAGAAGAATTTTTCACTATGTAACAAAAAACAAAATTTGTTTAATTTACTGTTTGTATTTTGAGAACGATTTCCGAAGTGGAAATTGAAACGTCATTAAACGTATTTTATCTTTAATTGTGGCTTATTCCCAGTTTAATAGTAATTAATAAATGTTTTTGGTTATTTAATCAATATAATTCTAAAATTCCCAATATAATCATGATTACTTTTTCTGTTTATTATACCATGTTGAAGCCTATGAAAAATCGAGCAGTTCCGTATGGATATATTTACTTTGAAAAATGGTATTCTTCAAATTATATATAACACATAAATAACCTTGATTTGATTTATTTTAATGTCTGTAAAATGGGGAAAATTCCCAAAATCCCCTAACTCTCCAAAAATTAGATGTTCAGCCGTCTTAAAAAAGTTATATGCTTTTTTCAAAAAAAAAATCTTTTTTTAGTTTATTTATACTTAACTTATTGGTCTATAAAAAATAGACATGTTTTGTAAAAGCCTCAACTATGCGTTTACACAGTTTTTTAGTGGAAGTTGTTTTTTTTTTTAATTATATTTTCTTAGTAAAATAATTTTGTGCACTATTACAGGGTTTCTAACTTTACTAAAAACTATAATTCCTTATTTATATACTTTTTTGGGTACTTTTACAAATATAATTGTGGCAACACAACATTAGTTATTTAGATGCACCTTATGCGTATGTACTTGACGTACTGCAAAGTATGTCAATCGTAAAAATGTACTTTTCTAAAGCTTATATTTTTATATGTGAAGCATACAGCATCTACATTATAAAAACATGCCAACACTGCTATACCGAAATTTTTTGTTCCATGTTAAACTCAACCATTAAAGTATATGATTTTTTATTTCTATTCGTTTTTCTTCACTAATTTTCGTTTTTGGTGTCTTTCCTCTTTTATCTTCTACATCAGTCCTACGTTCGTAGATTGTATCTTACTGGCGATAGTTAAAATAAAGTTTTTGCTTTTATCAAAAACGTTCAGAAGACAACCACGATAGATAGGCTCCTTATCTCCGTTTATGAAAACAGAATAAACCAAAGTTCTTGACCTGCATTTAACCATGTTCAGCTCCATTGTTCTAGTTCGATGTGGAGCAGGTTTTTTCACTTGAATAAGAGATGCAATGTATGTTGCTCTCTTTGACTACGAACCTATAACCAATATTCATATATCAAAACACTTTTTTAACTCGTTTGGATTAAAGCGATCTTTACATTTCATTCGACATGAGCTTAATACTTTGGCTTCGCGTAAACGTATTCGTTTTCCTTGTAACGTAAGATAACCTTTTCCTAAATTTCGCTCTAATTTCTTCTCATCTTTGCGTTTTCTTGTTTTTTGTTTTTCTATACGTGCATACTTATATATTTCACACGGTACAATATTAACGAAAACATTGATAGTGATAAAAAAAACGTGAGAAACGCAATGTATAATATTAACGAAAACATTGAAAGTGATAAGAAACGTGAGAAACGCAATTTAATCAATACCCAAATTACAAATTGAATGAATCATTGACATATCTTTTTTCATAGCTCCCTCAGTCTTTTCGTTAGCCAGCAATTTCTCTGATAACTGTTACTCTAGTCAGTTAAGTCAAATGTTTGGTTAGGTATACGCCGATCTAAACCAGATAAAAGAACTTGATTGGTTAAGTTCATCTCTAAAATGGATAAAATTTTGAGTATGAAAAATATCACTTATTTGGTAGGGAACCACAGGTATAACATTTTTGTCTTTTTTATTCCAGCGGTAGATAATTTTTTTTAGGTGATTTTAATAAATACAATAAATTGTCTCAAAAATTAACTTGTCTCTTTTTGTTCGCCGACCACACAATTGTCCTTGTATATTTACTTTGTTTAACGTTTCCATTAAGCTCATCTTGACTAATTTTAATAGTTGTACTGGTCATCTTGATGAAATCATAGCCTTGTAGATGCCTGCTCAATAACTACTGTGAATAAATTTACTATTTGACTGGAAATAAGCCACAATTAAAAGATAAAAATACGTTTATTGACGTTTCAATTTCCACTTCGGAAATCGTTTCTCAAAATACAAACAGTAAATTAAACAAATTTTGTTTTTTTGTTACATAGTGAAAAATTCTTCTAATAATTTAATTTTATCTGACTCATTTATATTTGACAATTCAGACATACATTATGCATTTTAAAGCAGACGACTTTAAAATGATATTGCCAAAATTGTTGAGTTACGCTCCTGGGACGACTTTACTTCATTCTTTATACCTTTATATTCCCGAATTATTTCATTTTTGCAGTTAATTTAATACCATTATTAATTAAGCACGTTATAATATATAAATAATTGTTTTAAGTCATTATAAGCCAAATATGTGTTACGTTGATTTTTTTAGGTTGTGTCCAAATTCCACTGGGGCTGAAATCAGAAGTGTTTGTACTGAAGCTGGTATGTTCGCTATAAGAGCAAGGAGGAAAGTAGCTACCGAAAAAGACTTCTTAGAAGCTGTAAATAAAGTGATTAAGTCATATGCCAAGTTCTCTGCTACACCAAGATATATGACTTACAATTAATTTTAAAGATTTTCTAATTATCGAATTATTTAAATTGCGTTTCTAAATAAATAATCCTTTTTTAGGGTATTCGTTGTTTATTTATTGTTTTGAGATTATATGTATTTTTTCTTGAATAGAGCTTACTCTAACATCGCTATAGAACAGGGCGGCTCTGTAACAAAATGACTACATTTGGATGTGAGAGGTGGCATTCGGATTTTTGAAGAAAGAGTTGTGATAACTTCAGTAAGAATAACTGACTCATCCTCCCTCCCCAATAGGCCGGGAATATTAATCTATAAAAAATAAAATATTCAAAAATTACTAAAAACGTTGATTCTTTTTCTACTTTTCGTGCTTATAACATTAAAACAATTAATTTTGAATTTTCTATAAAATACGACTATAAACTCTGACCACTACCTTGTAAGAACAAAACTCAGGGCTCGTATATCAAACGCTAAGAAGGGCCAGAGCACAAAAATCTACAAAATGTAATATTGATATGCTAAAATCTGAAGACGCTAGGGATAACAACAGGAAAATTTTAAATGATGAGCTGACAAGAATCGACGAAAATTTAAAGTATAGAAGAACACTGGACCAAATGCAAGGAAACTGTCCATGCAGTCGGCCCTAAAGGCTTTTTAAAAACCTAACCTGGCTCAAATAAACAAAGATTGGTTTGACGAAGAATGTAGATCCATTAACCAACAGAAAAATGAAGCATACAAGAGACTTCATCAGCGCAGAACGAGATCAAACTGTAAGACTGAAAATCTTAGACGAGAAGAAAAAAGAACGTTTAGAAAAAAAAAGAAAGAGTCATACGAAAACGCTCTAAACGAGATATTTAACCACCACAACAGAAAAGACTCGCGGAAAATTCTACCGAAGATAAACAGCTGCAGAAAAGAATTCAAATCCAGAATAACAGCATGTAAAGACAGAGGATGGTTCACCTAATTAGTGACAAAAGAACGGATACATTCTCGCCCTTACGGGCGAATCATTTTGAAGAACTTTTTAGCGACAGTCGTGAAGAGACCAAATAGAAGTTACCTTGCTGAAATACTAGATGAAAACGCTCAAGAACAACGCCCCCCACCGAAGAAGAAATTAAGAGAAGCTCATTTCAAAAATAGACCCTAATTTGGACAATCTTCCTGCGAACCCTTTAAAAACTGGTCTGGTGACACCCTTTTTAAACACATGCATAAATTAGTATTCCAAAATCTGGCGACGGAAGGGAAACGCCCGCAGACTGGAAATTAGGTGTACACACTCTTCCACAAAAAAGGAGATATGATGGCTGGTGTGATAATTATCAGATTCACTCACTCTACCTTAACGTGGCATAGTAAAGTATTGTATAGAAGATTGATCCACCTATGCTGAACAAATAGTTGGGAACTACCAGTCGCGGCTTCCGACCCAATACAAATCAACAAACGAATCAAATCTTCACACTCAGGCAGACTCTTGAGAACAACGCTTGAATTCCGGAGTCGACCACCCCACATATTCGTCGGATTTCAACCAGCCGCATTCGACTCAGTCAACAGACAAAAAACTTCCTACAGGTCTATGGCTGGAATTTCAAATGCCGCCTTAAATGTTATAACTGGCATTTCTGTAAAGCCTATTATGCCTTTTTATTTATCTTCTAGGTATCCTTCTAACTGTAACTATTAACTACAATAAGAGAAATTACATTCGACTAAAAAACTACTATTGTTCACGAGTTTTATGAAATTGGTGACAACGTTAACAAAAACACTTATTTTTAATCGGCTTGATGAGTGTGTCAAGTAAAAGCGGAGATGGCACGGATCTTACAGTCCCTCTGAACCTGGTGCAAGAGGCGCCAAGCTTTGATTTATTTTACTATTCCAAACGGATGTCGTGAAACTGTAAAGGTTTGCAAAAAGACATTTCTAGAAGTCACAATACAACGAAACAAAAAGCTGAAACATTGGTAAAAACAAGGTAATTTAATATACGTAGAACTAAGAGGAAATAAAAAAAATTTAGGAAGTATACTCAGGAGGATGAATCTATCATCAAAAGTCATATTGAATCGTTACCTGAACAGGAAAGCGACTACACGAGAGAGAGAAAAAAAGTAATAAATTATTTACTGAAGATCTAAGCTATAGTAGACTACATAAAGCTTTTGAAGATTTTGTCCCTCTACTGAAATCACCTTGTGACATTATACTGATTAATTCTTTGCTTACTTAAAAATCAAATACAAAATGTATCAAGTAGCAAAGCTGTAAATCAACAAAAATTATACCTACACCATATAAAAGCTGAGGAGGCTTGACATGTGATAAAACTGGACCATGAAAAATCTCAGCTTCCAAACAGCCAGTACTGCATTATTTTTATGGATCTTCAACAGGTTTTCTCTATACCTTGACACACTCGCAGATGTATTACGTGCGACAGTTGTCATGTTACAATCTAGATGTTCATGTAAGGGACAATAATCAAGTACTAATGTTTATTTGGCATGAGGGAATGAGTAGCAGAGGGGGCAACGAAATATCTTCTTGCTTACTTAAAACAGTCACTCTCAGAATGACAAACAAAAGATTACCTATATGGAGTGACAACTGCTCGGAACAGAGACATTCTTAGGATAGTTGTTAGTTCCTACCATAAAAAGCCCTTCATCGGTACTTTCTTGGAAACCTCTTACTGTTTTAATTTTAAAGAAGCAAGAGAAGAAGAAACAAGTGTCTCAATACCACAAAACTCGAAATTTATAAAGCTCAAGGGCTGAAAGTTTCAAAAGAGCATCCTGAAGTGTCAAGAAAACCTTCAACGAATTGGAACCATGGGCAGAAACAAATGTATTTAAAAAGAATATAACTGAAAAACTTTCTTGTAGCACTGGATGGTGAAAGTAAAATAAAACAAGGGAAGAAGAAGACTTGAAAAAAAATTTACCCTATTTGAAAGAAGAGAACAAAGTATTTTATGAGGAATTACTTTAGTAAATTAATTACAATAGCCTATAGTAAAGCTTTATGTAATCAAACTATTACTTCTTATAATAATTAAATGTTAATTTTAAAATAATTTGTATAAGTTTTCCTTATTATTTTAATTTAAGTCCTCAGTTAAACCTATTATTGTTTATTAACTCGTTTTTTATATAAATACATATGGCACTTAGCCCAATATTTACCAAAACTTGTAGTGCTTTAACCCGTTCCAAAAATTACATTCTTTCAAATTTTACTAAAAAAAAGTATATAGCAATAATATAAATATTTTTTGAGTATAAAATTTATCAGACTAAGATATTAGATTAGTAAAACTAAGTCTAACCAAAGCAAAAGTAAGAATCCAAAATCAACTGTCCGATGAATTTAATATTAACGAAGTCTAACACATGGAGATGCTCTATCCATAACATTTTTAACGTTGCGTTGGAACAAGTTATGATTAAAACTCCTGTAAATAGAGGAAGTAAATATTTACAAAGATCAATAAAGTCGTAGCTTACGCAGATGATATAGACATAATTAGCTGGACATTAAAAGACTAAGAAAAGGTTTATACATATTTTTAAAGAACTGACACATACTCTGGGTCTAGAAGGTAATGTCTAAAAGATAAAGTACTTGAAAACAACTCAATAACAATAGTTACAGAAGTAAATAAAAGCAGTGATAAGGTAACAGCGAGAATTTCACTTTGAAACAAATGCTTCTACATCCTACAGAATATTATGTCAAAATTAGTATCTATTAACTTAAAATAAAAATATACAAAACAGCTATGAGACCCATACTAACGTATACATCAGAAACATGGACTTTGACTAGTGAACAAGAGGAACAACTTCTTAGATGCGACAGAAAAAAATTGAAGGAAAATGTGTGGACCTATATAGACGAGAAGAGGGAATGGTTTATAAGAATGAACTATGAAATAAAAAATTTAATAAACCAACTATCACAAAAGAAATGCGATGTAAACGACTGAGTTGATTGGTACACGTAAAAAGAATATATGGTAAGAAAAAAAAACAAAACTAATTAGAAAATTATTAAACGGGAAGAGACCGAGAGGTAGGCCCAGAAATAGATGGATTGATGGTATAAGCAGGATTTAAAATGACTAGGAATACGAGAATGGAAAAAACATAGTAAAGAAAGCCAAATATACATGACACTGAAATGATCTCAAAGAAGACAAAGTAGGAACTAACGATTTTGGATATAAAACTTTTGAGATCTGCGTAGTTGGCCTCCACACCATGTAAAACTTAGAGCCTAGAATCACGGGCTATCAGTGATCACTGATGATTTAACTATAAACTGAAAAATTCAATACTTTGTATTTTTGTTTTTTTTTTGTAGGGTTTGTTTTAGAAAACTTGTCAATTAATTCATCCATTTTTGGATTACATTACTTTTTATGCACATTATCATTGAATTTTTCTAGCTTTTAAATTCTAAAGGTATTATCATTTTCGCCGTAACTTCTAATCTATTATTTGCACCTCAAAATCCTAAAAGCTTGTGAGCCGGACCCCATGTACCAAAGGGGCATTGCATACATTGCCTGGATTTCTACGTTGAGACAGTATTGCAGATTCTAAAAGATATTCTTTTACATTAAAATCTATGTCAGTGATAAATCGGAAATGTATTTTTGAAGGTAACGGGAAATAATATAGAATCTTTAATACATAATGCATTTTCTAAACTTAATAGCAGAAAACGATTACCAAAATCCTTAGAAACTCATATTTTTCTAACAATTATAAAGAAAATCTATCAATAACATAATTTTTTATTGTCTGTAAATTGGCTCTTACAAGAATAAAACATTTTTTTGAATGTTATTTTAATTGTTCCTTTTCTATTCCTATCATAGCTACTTACTACCTCATTTCGGAACTAACAAACCACGTATGAGTTCTAGTTTATTATTAGCAAAAGGTATTAATCAAAATACAAAAAATAATAGTTTATTCGCTGAATTTCTTTGAATTCTTCTTAACTTCAAATTAAATATTTTATATTATGATATTTCGTGTAACATTGTTCTATAGTGTA